GGGATGATGGTGACAAAATCTGGGCTCTCTCCAATTTGGACGTAATTTGGAATTGATTTAAACTTGCCATTTGCAAACAGATCTCTTGTTTTAATTTCAAGTCGATAGCTACAGATGCTTTAAACACTATTTGTGCCATAAAAAGAAGAATCTCATTTTTTTCTTTGTTACCCCAAATAAACATAGATATTTATTGGAAATTTGGAACTGAGAAACAGTATTCTTCAAGGCATAATCTAAACCCACTTAGCAAAACCTGTGAAATCTCTTACAGCATGTAAAAGTTTTCTTTATGTACAAAGCACTGGAGAGTTTTAAACAACACCTGCATTCATGGCCTGGACTGTTATTCTCTTATTTTTGCCTTGCTGTGGACTTGAAGTTCTCATCCATAAATCATTTTTATGAAATGAATAAACAACTTCTTTCATTGATGAACTACAAACTGACTGCACTGGTTACATTATAGCTAAGAGTAACATATTGATAGAGTTCTGCAAAAAGGAAATGAATGCGGCTTTTTGCCTGAGAGGAAGGGAACTTATTAACGTGAAAGTCAAATTAGATTTGGTATGATGGCAAAGAGCAAAACTCAGGTTCAGTAAAGTTTAAACCTATTGACATTTTATTAATAGTTATTTTTAAAGGCTGCTAATGAATTTTTGTAGGGAATTTTAGCAGTGGCTATTAGTGAACTTGAAGCACATGGCTTAAATATTTACTAGTGGTCATCGAATCTAGAGGAAATGACCTGATGAAAATAGAATTAGACATGCTAATTTCTACCTGATATTTAATGTGAAAATGATTTTATGTTACAGTAATTAGCACACCACGTTTTTAATGCTTACTAAACACCACTATATCCATTGTACTGTATATAATAAAAAGAAAATAGTGATTGAATCTACAGAATAAAGTAAAATGTAGAGTTCATGTATGCATTAAAAGCCAAATAATTTAAAGTCCCCTAATACATTTCTGTGCAGAAAAGTATGGTTAAGAAATTTTTACCATGTAGATATAATGACACCAAAATTAAATAAATAATCAGAATTCATCTGTCTTAAGAACCTAATCATTTTCATAAGGGATCAATTATTTGGTCAAATTGTATGTTTGATCCCATGCCCAACATCTGGATTAATGGTTGAAAATTTAACTGAGGTACTTATACTGAACGGTTTTTCTGACACATCTGCCTGAATGTGTGTCAATGCTAATGTCTTATATCATTTTTTATTTTAAATTATATCATGCCTTCAATGTGAAATAGATTGAATGTGATTCTCAAACCTAAATTATACTGCATTGCCTACTATCCAATAATTTAATATAGAATCTGTGAAATGATGAAGTGATTCCAGAAATTTCAGATCATGCAATCTCTTTTAATGCACAATTAAAACATTATACACTGATCATGAGTTCTATATTGTTGAAAACTATAAATAACAAAAAATAACAAACTTCTAAATTGAAGACTTTACCTACATAACATTGTTTGTAAGTTTAACATTTAAGATAGTGCGGTCCTGACTACAGAGCCACAGAGCATTTATTAATTTTTTCCACTTATGCACAGTTTATTTTTCTAATAAACATAAAATTATTGAGATCCCATGATCAATGTCAAAATCATTTACAAAACTTCCTTGAACATAAACACTTCCTATTGTACCTCCTAATTACACCCTGGAGATCCCTAACATTCTCTGATTGTTGACTTTCCACTGTTTGCATATCTTTGTGCTCTCCAAGCCACTCCAGCTGCAGTGAGCAGGCTTTGCTCATAAAGCCTTTCCCTCAGAGATAAGGCCTGCCTTCATGTAATCTTAGCACATCCCTTCATTTCCTCTTGTGCTTGAGTCCTTTTAAATGTAGCCATTCCAGTTTTAAAAGTGCCGTAGACATCTTCCCAGCTCATTATAGACCATTATCATACTTTTCTTTTTGCTTATGTGCTAGATAGAGAAATCCATTGCTATGCCACAATGGAATCAAAACATTTTGGAGCATCAGGAAGCATAGATGCCTTGAAATATCAAACTGGATACCTTCCAAAACCAAATAGTAGTGCAATATTATGGTGATCAAACCTCAGAGTGGCATCTGTCAACTATCTCACTATTAACTGAATTTCTAATTAGGAAAATATTGGAAATAGAATGAGAAGTTGGGTATATTCTCAAAGAGCAGAGAAGTTTAGTGAAGAAGGCATAAGGCTGAAATCTGATCTTGAGGAAGGATTTGGTTGTTTTTTTGAGGGGGTGATGGGGCAGGTGGTAGTAACCTGTGAAGTCCTGATGCACTAATCCTAGCCTTCTTTTTAACCCTTTCCCATCTACATTACCTGAATGCACAGTTTTCCCAAGACTTTATGCTTTCATGGACTCCTTCTCTTTCTGCTTTCCTTCTTCCCGGTTCTAGGAAGAGTTGGGTATTTCTTGTTTGTTTGTTTGTTTTTCCCCCAGGGAAACTTTTACATAATTGTGGTTAACAATTTCAGCTTCTGAGGAAACGGTCACTTCCTGAGTAGACTACTTCCTGTTGGATGATTCTGTAAACAGAATTTCAGAAGCAACTCAGAACCCATCTAGTAACTTTTCAGCAGGAAAGCCCTTCAAATATTTGAAACTCATTTACATATTCTTCTTCCTGTTCATCTATACCAGAAACAAACGCTCTAGTCCTATAATGCAATCCTTATCTAGTCAGCGTCCCCAGGGGATCCTTATTTAGCTAAGACTCTTGTGAATGGATTACTTTGCCAATATACCTTTGAAATGATGGTGCCCAGAACTAGACTTAAAATTTCAAATATAATCTAAATATTATCCATCCACATGGTACTACTAATGCAAAGGTAGGGAAGCACTAGCTTTTCGAGCAGATGCTGTAATTTTCTCGAACCCTTTAAATCTAGAATTAACTAAAATGCTTAGACCTTTTTATATGAAAATGCTTTCATGTCAAGTTTCTACCATCAATACACTGCGCTTCACATAGTTACTCAAATTGTGTTTTATCAATATTCACAAGGAAAATGTACTCAAAGGTTTGGGTTTTCTTCACATTTCACCTTTGGGATCTTTAATGTGAAGAAACAAGATGCAAACAACTAAAATTCTGGCCCGAGCAGCTGAAGAATTAAAGAAACCTTGCTTGTTAAATTTGGGTGGGGGTATTTTTTTTTTTTTCATCACCGCCTCCACCACTGGGTGGGGGTATTTTGAATTACTTGTTAACTCTATTGTTTGAATCATCCAACAATAAGTATACATTTAAATGTTGGCTGGGATTTTCTGCCACAGGTGTTTTCTTCACTAAGATTTTCATTTTAAAAATATTTTTCAAGATAGTTGTTATAAGAACAGAAAGATAGCTTAAAAATCAAAACTTAGGGTGACAATAAAGTATTTTAGAAGTAGCAATCACACCGTTTTAAGTATCAATCAGCTATTCCTACACATAATAATTTTTTACCCTGAACTCCTTTCTTTGCAGAGCTTGGTAAACACATGTCTGATGATTTAACTTGGTGTGCTACTGGTGACCTTCTTAAAAATTACTACTGTTTACCTGTGTTCCATGTTGCTCTATTTAGATTATTTTAAACCAAAGTTAAGGCCCAGGAGATTGCCAGATAATAGCCCAAAAGGCAGTGACAACATCATTTGAGTCTGCCAAATCTCCTAATAGTCCTATCTCATAGGAGATGGTTAATAAATACTTGCTGATTTGAAAATTTAAAAGGCCAAGTGGCCTGTTGAATGATTCTAAAAGGTATTCTCAAATAAATCACAGTGTTCATCTCTAGAAGCCTTCTCCAAATGCAGGGTTAATTTAGAGATTCAGTAAGGATTTCAATTCTAAGGACTGTTTTTGTCCATTGGGAAAACAAAATTCTCAATAAAGTCTTTCTTCTGTCTATTTGTTTTGAAGAAAAGTCCATTGCACAGGTGGCATAAGCTTTCTGGAAATGAACATGAGGAAAGAGGCAAAGACATGAATAGTGCTCAGCCAGCAGATGCTGCTTACTAAAAAACAATACTAAACGGGTCATCAGAAGACATGCAATGCCCTGTTTATTATAGTTGGGGACATTTAGGTTCTTACTGAGGCAAGTAAACTACCCTTCTTAAGACTTTTTATTTTTTCGGTAACCAACAGTCCTATTGTGAAAATAAAATAATATTTATGTTGTCTAAAAAGATACTAGAAGGATTTATGTAGCCATATAATTTCGTAATATATTTGTACTCTATTTATTTGTTATTACAATTTTTCTTTATTTTTAGGAAATAACAATTTGTGAAATCTCGGTTAGAAGGTCATTTTCATTTTGCCCAAATTTTCTCACTCCACATTGCTTTGCTAAGCCCTGTGCATTTATTCATTCATTATTTCATTCACTTACTCATTTGTTCTTCTTAAAAACATTTATTGAATACACATTATGTTCCTAGATACAAGGCTACCATTAGTGCTGCAATGTGAATCTATTATAACTGCTTGAGCCCCCTTGTTCTATTCATTCTCAATTTCTACAGCAAACTTAAACCCATCTCCACAGCTCCTAGCCTCATCATTCATTCCACTCCACATTCATTTTTCATAGTTGCTGCTGATGACACCTCCACCTTCCCAACAGTCTTTTCTCTAAATCCCACTCCATCAGGTTCTTGATCTTATTCCTTCCTCTACCTTTCCACAACCACAGCCTTGGTTCATGCAGTAGACACTTCGTTCTATGGGTTATCTAATCCAGCAATCTCCAGGCTTTTCTTCATCATGCATCCCTTCTTATAACATTTTTGAACGTCCCAGCCAAATATATATATATTTATAAATCATATTAATAAGTCACTTTTAATCCATGTAATCCATGTACATATTAGAATATTAATTTCTTTATGATTTTTGAAACAATGTATATATAAATAGACATCATAGCATTTTTAAAATATATATTTTATTGTGTTTTAGGTTTTGGGGTATATGTGCAGATCATGCAGGATTGCTACATAGGTACATACATGGCAATGTGGTTTGCTGCCTTTCTCCTCGTACTTTTAAATGATTTGTTATACTTAATATGTAAAAACAATAAATGCATTTTTAAAATTGTTAAATATAAAATAGATATTCAAATGTATTGTGCAGAGTACATAAAACTTACATATCTCTAACCAAGCTTCCTTATTGAAAGAGCCACGTAAACCAGACTCCAAATTTCCAATTTGCTCTTTCTCCTCCGAGACACTGAGGAAGGAAGACTCTGTAGAGGTTGCATTCTTCTTTGCTGCAGTAAGCAATAAACTAAGCTTTGTGTTATGCAGGTATGTGTGTGTATATATGCATACATATGTAGCATAAAATCTATATAAAGTATATATAAAATATATACCACTATATATACTACTAGTATATATACTATATATAGTACAACTAAATATAAAGAAACTGCTTTAAATAATGATAGTAACTAATATTTTGAATTTGTCTTCAAATTTTACATGAGAAGGAAATCATAAGTTATAGAGTCTTTTAAAGTTCATCTTTTTGGTATGATGGGAAATAAATTGCTCAATAAATTTTGATTTAAATTCAGTGTGATCCCAACTAGTAGTAAATATGATCCATGATACCTTCTTTTAACTTGATAAATACAATGTTTTTACTTTTTAAAAAACTGTCCAACAATTTGGATCCTTATATTCTGGCCCTTAATTTTTTGTGATTCCAGAGTTATACTCATCACCACTTCTCTGGGTTTACTTTTCCAGGAGTCTGGTAAGACTTAACATTAGGCTCAGATGTAAAGTTTTCCCTAAATATAGTAGATAATGCAGATAGGCCTGCAGCAATGAATTTGATGTTGTGTTCTGGGGTGTTTTAGAAATTTTTGAAAATTTAGAAAACAGAAAGTAACCTAATTTTCATATGTTATCTATACTCTATGGTTATTCACAAAGAAAATTACCCAATATTTTAAAAGAGAGTTTATTTCCTTCGCATTTTTCTCACTTACCTTGGCAATCTTTTTAAAATTTAATTAAATTAAATTAATTTATTTTTGAGACAGGGTCTTATTCTATTGCACAGGCTGGAGTGCAGTGGTACGATCACGGTTGACTTCATCCTCAACCTCCCAGGCTCAGGTGATCTCACACCTCAGCCTCCTGAGTATCTGGGACTACAGGCATGCACCACCATGCCTGGCTAGTTTTTGTATTTTTTTAGAAATGGAGTTTTGTCATGTTGCTGAGGCTCAGGCTGGTCTCAAACTCCTGGGCTAAACTAATCCACCCACCTTAGCCTCCCAAAATGTTGGGATTACAGGCATGAACCGCCATGCTTGACCAAATATTACTTTTTTAACTGACAAATAATAATTGTATATATTCATGCAGTACATAGTGGTGTTTGAATATACATATGTGTAGTGATCAGATTAGGGTGATTAGCATAAGCATTGTCTCAAACATTTACCATTTGTGTTGGGAACATTCAATATCCTCCTTCTAGGTATTTTAAACTATGTTTTGTTATTAACTATAGTCATCCTACAGTGGTATAGAACATGAGAACTTGTTTCTGTTATCTAGCTATAATTTTTTATTTTTCAGGGATTCTATCAGTGTAGAATACTGGGCTAGGGGTGTTTATTTCACAAAATTTCATTGCAGAGAGAGCAAATAAGGTCTACTAAATATTTGTAGATTTTATTTTCTGCTAAATAACAAGCAGTTTTCACTCATTTGAATTTATGACATTGAAACAGCATTGGCAGATCACAAGGTCTTTGGTGATGTCAGTGGAAACAGATTTACATGGTTTTGGTTTGCGCCCCAAAGCTTATGAATACATTCTTTGCCAGTGAGATACACATGTGAAGCACATGAGCAGGTGAAAGTGTGATTACATGGTTGTCTCTTCCTTTGCAACCATGATTTATTCCTTCCATGATGCAGTGAACATCTGTTTTATGTTTGAAGATTTTTCAAAATAAATTTATTAATTTTACATGTTACTAAGTAGAACTAATCATCTAAATTACAAAAACATTATAAAATGATATAACTACACAAATTCTTCTATCATTTTTCTAGACAACTTAAACATAACAACACTAATTGTTAGAGAAAAATGTGCCTTAAGAGAGTACTTCACTTGCATAAGTAATAACCTAAATGTTCATCTATAATAAATGGGGCATTTTATGTCTTCTGATTCTGGCTTAGAAGTACTGGTCTGCTAGATGGTCACTGTGAATATCTATGCTACATTATCTCCTCCTCTGCCATTCCTAGAAAGCTTGTGCCATCTACAATGTATTTTTCTTCAAGACAGATAGGTAGGCAACAGGGAAGATTTTACATTTTACATGGAAGATTTTTTTTTTTTTCTGATGACAAAACTGAGGCTGTTGTTGAATCTTTAAATTATTGTCAAATTTGGACAACATGTCTGGTCCATATCTCTTCGAGATCAACACTGTTCTGAGAATGTCATTGGAACCATTAAAATGGCCACTTTCCTTTCAAAATTTTCAGATCAACAAATATTTATTAACCTTCTTTTGTTTTCTGAGTGTTCCAGGCAGTTTTGAAGAAATTGAAAGGTCTGTCACTACTTTTGGTGGACATAGCCTAAGGAGGATACATTCTCAATGAGCTACATTTTTGAATAAATACCTCCTATTCAATACAGGTAGAATTGCCAACTTACTTGCTTCTGAACAATAGAATCTGTCTAAAGAGATGGCACATCACTCCTTTGACTAGATTACACACATGGCAAATGTGAAGGGGTTTTGCATGTGTTAAGTACAATTGATATTGTATGAATCATAAGGTAGATTAACCTTGGCAGACCTGATACAGTCATATGAAAGCCCTTAAAAGACAAACTCAGCCCTTTTGTGAGACTCTCCTTCAATGGTTTTAAAGAAGTTGTTACATTGTGAGAGAGCCTTTGAGAGGTCATCAGTTATCAATGAGAAAAAACTTGAAAAATAAAAATTGCCTGTGGTAGCATGTATTTTATCCTTTTTGGAGGAATTAAGAGTATGGACATAGCTAGGGGATCATAAAATTTATTATTCAACAAGGACACATTGAAATGAAAGAAGGAAAGGTGAAAAATTAAATTGGAACGACAGGAGGGTACCAGGACTTCTCTTGGCAAACCAGACTTAGTATCAGCATCTTAGTCACTCCTGTTATAAAGTACCTCCCAGGTAATAGGTACAATGCTTTCGTATGTTCATTTGCTGTCTCTAAAGATTGGTTATTTAAAATTAGACTGTTCTACCCCCATTGAAAAGTTTTAACCTAAAAAAAATGTCATTGGTCATTCTAAATCTATTTAAATTTCAACTGAGAAAACCAGTGTTTTATGCTCTAATTTTAGATGTCTTATTATAGCTGTGTAGTGTTTCATCTTTTACACACACAGTCTGACTTTATTTCCGTTGCTCCTTTACCAGTTGCTTTAAACACATTCTTCTTAGCTCATCGTAACCTCTCTTTTGTTTTCCTTTTTGTTTCTTTTTATTTTGGAGACAGTGTGGTATAGGAATTAAAAGTGCAGTGCTGGATTCTGACTGCCTTGGATCAAATCTTGGCTCTACTATTTATGATCATTGACAACTTAATTCATCTTTCTGTGCCTCAATGTTTTCACTTGTAGTTATGAATAAAAAGGGAGATTTAAGAAGTATCTGCTTCATGGCTTGTAGAAAGATAGTGTTGGGCACATAGTTAAGCAGTCAATAAATACTAATTCTCATTATTAGTTCCCTTTTAATAAAGGTTCCAAGCAGGCCAATTCACTTAGGTTTTGTAGTGTAACATAACTTTTTTTATAACTAAGAAAATAAAATTAATGCTTTCTAAAAATTAACTCGCTAGCTTAAAAGGAAACCTGCTTGGTATCTTCTGACAAATGATTCTCTTTAGGCTTTGTTTGGCTCAAAGAATAATGTGGTAATATGCTATTAATAATGATATCACTAAATAAACATTGGTCATCATTCAGAATAAGTTTGATAAAATAATTTAAATGTGAGAATATCACTGCATTGAATAACTTCAGCTATAAACTGGTATTCTGTTTTCTTTACGTAAGGTAACTATCTGCTGATTTTATCAGTCATTGAATAGAGGCATTAGTTAAGTAGATAGAGATTAAAAAGTCCCCAAGTCCTTAACCAGTTCTCAAGGAAATGATTTTAAAACAAAGAACTATGGCAATGGAAAAATGTCTGCAAATTAAAGCCAAAACATACTTCCGTGACTTTGGTCTTTAGAGACTAAAATTCCATCAGGATTAACTGACTGAAGTTCTAAGCATGTTTAATAGTTCTGAATCAAGTTCAAGTATTCACATTTACAATCAGTGCCCTAGAATTAGATATGGTTAATCTGACAATCAAGTTCAATGGAAAAATCATTTCCATGAGAACCACAGCACTGCTGAGTATGGCATATCGCCTTTGGAAGGTGGATACATATCCCATGAAATACACTTTAGATGACTCTATAGTAAAAATTTAATAAGCCTGGCTAGAGAATGTTCACTATGATTCATTTTGCTAATTTGGTACATTTGCTCAAATTTCCATTAAACTAAACAAAGATCCAGTTACTCAATTACCAAAATATTCAGTTTTATGTTTCCAGAAAAAAAATGCAAGGGAAAAATGAAGGTGATTCTTGAGATGTGAGTCAAACATCTCTCAATATTTTGGAAAGGTGAGTCACCTCTTGGATATATTGTTTTCGGTTACATCATTTGGTATAGAAAAAACCAATGATGACATAAAACAGAAGCAAAGTAATCTTCAAAGGAGAAAGTTAAGCAATTTTTTCTTTCTTTCTTGCATTTGTTGGTGAACTTGGATAAGCCCATATAAGAAGATATTACATATCAAAATAAGTTGAGAAATGACTCTTGGATTCAAGCTTCGTATCCACAGGACAAAGTGAGCTAAAGAACCGAACAATTTTCCAAAGAATCTACAAAGTATGAATACTGTAAATAGAAAATTCAGATCCTAGCCCTCCTTCTGAGATGGGCAAATGATTCTTCTCTTTTCTTTGTTTGAATAGCATAGGCATAAATTTCATAGATATTATGAATAATTATCCAATTAAATATTATTTAATTTTAATTTTCAATATTTTTCTCAGTTGCTTTGTATAAGATTTAAAGGTGTTTCCAACTTTCTTCTGGGTAGTTCTACACAGTATTCTCCACAGGCACTTCAAATTTTACATGTCAATTTAATTTGTTATTTCTTTTGTGGTCACACTTAATTTGCCTTCTATGTTCTAAACTATAGTCAACAATATCACCATCCGCTCAATAGATAAAGAATATTAAAAATTGTAGAGGGAAGAAACTTATTTAGCTTCAATTAAACCATGGTTTTCCAATCACAGTTTTTTTTTTTTTTTTTTTTTTTTTTTTTTTTTTAGAAAATACTCATTAAGACTTTACCAGTATAAAAATTAAAACTCTTACAAATAATGTAAGATCCTACACAATCGGACTTCTGTTATTTCACTAATTCATTTCCTACACCTCTCTGTCCTCACTCACACCTCTCCAGTCCCACTGGACTCCTCCAGGGACTGGTTTGAATTTACTCTGAGACTGCATTTTGAACATGTTGCTAGATGACCCTCAGACAATAATTTGAAGGGAAGGCAGCTTCATGTTTACTTTAAAAGTGTGAGGCAAGTAAAGCTTCCAGAGCAATAGGTAGCCTTAGTAAAACAGTTATAATCCCTTTGGAATTTTTTTCCCTATAACTTGCAACTCACTGATTCTACAAACGATGATTATTTCTTAAAGTGGTCTCAAAGGGTCTCTCTTTGTTATTTTGCAGATGCCATTAGCGTGTACATTTCATCATTTTTTAGCTAAAGTGAATGTAAATATTTGAAAGGAATAATGAATGGAAGAGTCATCAAACTTTTCTAACTGAAATCTAAGCATTTCAATTTAGATTTTCTAATGAAGTCAGTTTACTACAGCATATGCAGTGGTAATAGCAAAATGATTAAGATTCTGACATCTGCATCCAGATTGCTACACCCAAATTTTTGTTCTGTTGCTTTACTCATTGTATGATTTTGGTCAAGTTATATTTGAGCTACAGTGTCCTTATAATATAAACTATGAACAATAATTGACCTTTCCTGCTAGGAGCATTGGATTAGTGAAGGTAGACCAGGTCAATATTCCAAAACTTTAGCACATGTGAGAATCACCTGTAGGTGTTACAGCAGATGTCTGACATTTTAATTCCCACCAACAGTGTAAAAGCATTCCTATTTTTTTTTTTTTTTTTTGAGACGGAGTTTCGCTCGTTGCCCAGGCTGGAGTGCAATGGCGCGATCTCGGCTCACCGCAACCTCCGCCTCCTGGGTTCAGGCAATTCTCCTGCCTCAGCCTCCTGAGTAGCTGGGATTACAGGCACGCACCACTATGCCCAGCTGATTTTTTGTATTTTTAGTAGAGACAGGGTTTCACCATGTTGACCAGGATGGTCTCGATCTCTTGAGCTCGTGATCCACCCGCCTCGGCCTCCCAAAGTGCTGGGATTACAGGCGTGAGCCACCGCGCCCGGCCTAAGCATTCCTATTTTTATACAGCCTTGCCAGCATCTATTGTTTCTTGATTTTTTAATAATCACCATTCTAACTGGCCTGAGATGGTATTTCATTGTGCATTTCTCTAATGACCAGTGATGTTGAGCTTTTTTTCATATGTTTGTTGGCCACATAAATGTCTTCTTTTGAGAAGTGCCTGTTCATATTTTTGATGGGGCCATTTGTTTCTTGTAAATTTGTTAAAGTTCCTTGAAGATTCTGGATATTAGACCTTTGTCAGATGGATAGATTGCAAATATTTTCTCCCATTCTGTAGGTTGCCTGTTCACTCTGACAATAGTTTCTTTTGCTGTGCAGAAGCTCTTTAGTTTAATTAAATCCTATTTGTCAATTTTGCCTTTTGTTGCATTTGCTTTTGGCATTTTTGTCATGAAGTCTTTTCCCATGCCTACATCCTGAATGGTATTGCTTAGGTTTTCTTCTAGGGTTTTTATGGTTTGGGTTTTACATTTATGTATTTAAGTGATCTTGAGTTAATTTTTGTATAAGGTGTAAGGCAGGGGTCCAGTTTCAGTTTTCTGCATATGGCTAGCCAGTTTTTCCAGAACCAGTTATTGAATAGGAAATGCTTTCCCCATTGCTTGTTTTTTTTTTTCAGGTTTGTCCAAGATCAGATGGTTGTAGATGTATGGTGTTATTTCTGAGATCTCTCTTCTGTACCATTGGTCTTTCTGTCTGTTTTGGTATCAGTACCATGCTGTTTTGGTTACTGTAGTCTTGTAGTGTAGTTTAAAGTTATGTAGTGTGATGCTTCCAGCTTTGTTCTTTTTGCTTAGGACTGTTTTGGCTACATGGGCTCTTCTTTGGTTCCATATGAAATTTAAAGTAGTTTTTTCTAATTATGTGAAAAATGTCAATAGTTTGATGAGAATAACATTGAACGTATAAATTACTTTGGGCAGTATGGCCATTTTCATGATATTGATTCTTCCTATCTTTGAGGAGGGAATGTTTTTCCATGTTTGTGTCTTCTGTTATTTCCTTGAGCAGTGGTTTGTAGTTCTCCTTAAAGAGGTCCTTCACTTCCCTTGTTAGCTGTATTCCTAGGTATTTTATTCTCTTGGTAGTGATTGTGAATAGGAGTTCATTTATGATTTGGCTCTCTGCTTGTCTATTGTTGATGTAAATGAGTGCTTTTGATTTTTGGCCATTGACTTAGTATACTGAGACTTTGCTGAGCTTACTTATCAGCTTAAGGAGTTTTGGGGCTGAGGTGATGGGGTTTTCTAAATACAGAATCATGTCATTTGCAAACAGAGACAGTTTCACTTCCTCTCTTTCTATTTGAATACCCTGTATTTATTTATCTTGCCTGATTGCTTTGGCCAGAACTCCCAGTACTACATTGAATAGGAATGGTGAGAAAGTGCATCCTTGTCTTGTACCAGTTTTAAAAGGGAATGCATCCAGCTTTTGCCAGTTCAGTATGATATTGGCTGTGGATTTGTCATAAATAGCTCTTACTATTTTCAGGTATGTTCTCTCAATACTTAGTTTATTGAGTTTTTAACATGATGTTGAATTTTATCAAAGGCCTTTTCTGCTTCTATTGAGATAATCATGTGGTTTTCATCACTTGTTTCTGTTTATATGATGGATTATGTTTATTAATTTGCATATCATGAACCAGCCTTGCATCCCCAGGATGCAGCCTGCTCGATTGTGGTGAATCAGTTTTTCGATGTGCTGCTGGATTTGGTTTGCTAGTATTTTATTGCAGACTTTTGTATAGATGTTCATCAGGAATATTGGCATAAATTTTTCTTTTTTTGTTATGTCTCTGCCAGGTTTTGGTATCAGGATGATGCCGTCCTCATAAAATGAGTTATAAAGAAGTCCCTCTTTTTCAATTGCTTGGAATAGTTTCAGAAGGAATGGTACCATCTCCTCTTTGTGGCTCTGGTAGAATTCAACTGTGAATCCATCTGATCCTGGGCTTTTTTACGTTGGTAGGCTATTAATTACTGCCTCAATTTCAGAACTTGTTATTGGTCTATTCAGGGATTTGATTTTTTTCCTGTTTTAGTCTTGGGAGGGTATATGTGTCCAGAAATTTATCCATTTCTTCTAGATTTTCTAGTTTATTTGCACAGAAGTATTTATAACATTCTCTGATGGTAGTTTGTATTTCCGTGGGGTCAGTGGAACAGTGTAGTGATTTCTCAAGGATCTAGAACCAGAAATGCCATTTGACCCAGCAATCCCATTACTGGGTATAAACCCAAAGGAATATAAATTATTCTTTTATAAAGACAAAGGTACATGTATGTTTATTTGTAGCACTATTTGCAATAACAAAGACATGGAACCAACCCAAATGCTCATAAATGATAGACTGGATAAAGAAAATGTGGTACATATATACCATGGAATACTATGCAGCCATTGAAAAGAATGAGATCATATCCCTTCCAGGGACATGGATGAAGCTGAAAGCCATCATCATCACCAAACTAACACAGGAGCAGAAAACCAAACACTACATGTTCTTACTCATAAGTAGGAGTTGAACAATGAGACACATGGACACAGAGAAGTGAACAACATATACTGGGGCCTGTTGGGGGTTGGGGGCATGGTGAGGAAACCTAGATGACAGGTCAATAGGTGCAGCAAACCATCATGGCACATGTATACCTATGTAACAAATATACACATTCTGCACATGTATCCTGGTACTTAAAGTAAGATAAAAATAAAAAATTAAAAATTAAAAACGCAGGTGCCTGATAGATGGGATTACATTAAACTCAAAAGTTTTTGCATATCAGAGGAAACAAATGAGTGAAGAAGTGATTCACATACTGGGAGAACGTATTTGCAAATCATATTGAAAAGGTGGCTAATATTCAAAATATACAAGAAACTCAAACAAAGCAAAAAAAAAGAAAGTAGAAAAAAAAAACAAACAAATAAGACAAAACAACTCCCAAATAATGCAACTGAAAATGGGGAAAAAAACCTGAATAAACATTTTTCAGGAAAAGACACACAATGGCCAACAGATATATGAAAAGGTGCTCAACATTTCTAATCATCAGATAAATGCAAATTAAAAGCACAATGAGATAACACATCATACTCGTTAGATAAGCTTCTATCAAAGAGAAGAAAGGAATCAAGTTTTGATAAGGAAGTGGAGCAATAGGAACCATTGTGCACCGTTGGCAGATTTGTGAATTAACATCTCCATTTTGGAAAATGATGTGGAGCTTCCTCAAAACCTAAAAATAGAATTAACATATAATCCAGCAATCTCCCTTCTGAGAACATATCCAAAGAAAGTAAAACCAATATATTAAAGAGTTGGCTATGTTTCTATATTCATTCTAACACTGTTCACAATAGCCAAATGAAAATAACCAAAGTGCCCATTAACAGATGACTTGATTAAAAAATGTGATGTGTATAGACACACTAGAATATGACTCAAACTTTAAAAAACAGGAGATCCTGTCATTCAGGAAGACGTAGGTGAAACGAAGGGATATTATGCTAAGTAAAATAAGCCAGGCACAAAGAGACAAATACTATATGATTTTACTTATGTGTGAAATTTTAAAAAGTCAAACTCATAGAAGTAGCAAAATGGTAGTTACCAGGAGCTTGGGGAAGAGGTGGATGGGGAAAAGAGGAGATATTGTTCAAAGGATAGAAAGGTTCAGTTAGACGCAAGGAATAAGTTCTGGTGATTTATTGCAAAATATGGTGACTATAGTTAATGTATATTTCAAAATAGCTAAAACAGATGACCTTATTTTATGTTTTTTTCATGTAAGATAGGTTTTACTCTTTATTTATTTTTTAACTTTTGTTTTA